TCCTTAGCCGCATCCAGGTAAAAGATCAACAGATGCTATATTGTGAAATGTAACTATATCTGTAGATTCTATATGTATATATATGTTGTATTTACATATTCATTTGCTCTCACCCAGGAGTACCTTCAAGAGCTAAGACTCCGTCTGAACGAACAATCCCCACACTCAAAAGCCTCTCATCCAACAACGAAACCTGTAACTCTGACGTCCCTTGCACATACCTATCACTTAGATTAATACTCTATGTACAGTTCCCATATGTAAACATCATGCAATATATAATATGAGATCAAAACTATAAATCTGCCCATCAGAAGAAGCGAGATACCCAATCACAGCACCATCTATACAACTAAGGCACCGGCAATGGGAAGACTGCTAGTCACGAATACGGACATTTTTATATTTGCAAGTTAATATTCGTGAGAATTATTCTCCTCATCAGTTTCACTTGAAAGTTTTGTTAGTAATTGGCATTATTATCACTATTGTTATTATTATTAGTACAATTATATGACGTATTAATAATTTATACAAGAAGAGCATCCTCCAAATTTTATATCCTACTAAAGAGGTGTGTTTAATTACTTTTGAGTTGCTTCTACAATTCTGTGCTTCTGTAGCTGTGAACTAACGTCTGGTTTTTTAGTCTGCGTCGATTTCTAAAGTCTTCTGGCTATGTTGGTTTTTAAAGTCCTTCGAATATATCTTTTATGTCTCTGAATTACATTGGTCCTTTAATTCTCGAGTATACTGGTTTTGACTCTTCTGATTGTATTATTAATGATTGTTGATTAATATTTATACTAATTTCGATAGCGCTTTCCATTCAATTTGTTATAACCGCCGAGTAATATATTATAACGAATCGTTAATAAGAGCTAGGAATGATGTAATCTGTGTAATCTTTAGAGAGAGAAATTGAATTACTTGAAGTAACGATATATTTCAAAAAAAGAAAAAAAACAGGATGATATAAGATTGCAAATAGAGCATGAATAGAAGATTGGAATAGAAACCCGAATGCGTCAAGTTAAAACCGCTTAGAAATGAAAACGCTGAGACATAGCTTGTAGCCAGTACTTTGATTGAACTAACCTAAATTGTAGAGGTCTTGAGATAGTGTTCATCATCTAAAATAATTCCGCATGATAAGATGAAGAATGTCGCATATTCGCAATGTTCATGGATACGATTGGTATAAAGAATTGCATGGAAAATGATACGTTTATTATTGTAAACGCGGACTTTCCGCAGAAGAAGTACCAAAGACATTAAATAGTACAAAACGTTATATCTAATGTTATGTTTTCTATTTTTGAGGAAACACCAGAATGATCGGCATTGCAAAACTCCTGCAAAAGAGCTACAAGCGTTTATCGCAAGCCTTTGAGGCGTGACGGTCCCACGAATTAGAGTTAGTTCCGTGTAGATCAAGATTTGCAAGGACTTCAATCAAAAGCAAAATTACTGTGCGAAAAGTATAACCAGCATGGCCTTGATCACTGATGTTGAGGAGGTTGATACATGAAATTCATGGGGTGACTTGTTGCTCCGTTATCAACCAAATAAGTTGGATTGTTGGAAATAGTGGTGTAGCCCAAATCGCGGACCAGAATATATCTCGATAGAGGAGCTGCGATGCCCGGATGCCTGCAGTGCAGGTGGAATCCATCTCTCACTAAGGAAGCAAGGAGCTTACACTTTATGGAGGAATATTCTGGTTTGGCGTTTATTTTAATCTCTCGCCCAGGATTTGTATCTACTTGACTTTTGATGGACATTCAATTACACTGTAAGTACATTCGCAGTAAGCACATTCGATTACACTGTAAACTTTATCAAGTGATTTCTACTCACATTTGGAAACATGTTCATTCGTTTTGCTGGAATTGAGGCTTACAACTAATTTCTTCTTCAGGTCAGAATTTCCATTATTCTGCTTCATTTTTCAATGAACGTAGCTCCTCTCTCACTGGTCACTAAAACATATTCTTGAATTTACATATTCGGCGGTGGTGGCTTCGTACATATAGTTGCCATTAGGATAGCTCGAGAGTCAAATCACTATGGCAAACCCGTACAAAATCTCGACATATTACCAGTTGCTATTCATAACTCATACCATAGCTAGGATAAAAATTTTTCCTCTGATTCTTGTGAAGCATTGCAGTTCATTGTCAAGTGACAATTTTTTCACCCTTCTCATTCTTGTATTCACCTTGCTTGATCTAGTTCGATGGTGTTCATGGCTGTAATCTATAAATTAGTTTAACTTATGACCCAACCTCACATCCCGTTAAAT